GAGGAAAATGTACTCACTCATTCACAGGGAATTGGTACCTTACAAGGACATCGTCAGTAGTACATTTATAAGAAAAATGGCTGTTCTCTGGTGTGGCTTCAGAATTAGTTCCATTTACTCTTTAAGTTCTGCATTACAGAGGCAAATATGATCAACTTCTTTAGTGTGGCTGGTGGTGTCTGGCTACTAAATCTTCGCCAAAGCAAAAGCAGTGATAGTAATTTGTTTTTGTTTCTTTTCTCGGTATAATTAAAAACCTACAATATATATAGTTTTGCTTTATTTGATCTAGATTGAAATGTTATAAACATATTACTCAAATCAAAATTAGATGTGAATATCTATTAAATGTAATGTATTATTGTTATTACCTTAGATCTTATAAGGTTTCACACTAACGGCCAACTTCTCACTGCGAATCGCCTGTGTCTTTATTTTGCGAGATTCTTTTTATACTTACAAAAACTTATCGCTATATGCTGGGAAATATTGTTAGCATTCGAATTGTGCATTGAAATTTTATTATGATAATGATGAAACTAAATCTAGAGAAATATCAATAGCTCACACAAAAAAAACATAACATATTTAGCCCGTTATGCAGCTTATTTATGAGTACATTATAAATAATACAGGGCGAACCATTTGATAGTGTCACACACCCCCTCGCCCCAGTAAAAATGGTCGAGCTTACGAGAACATTTTTTTACTATAAACTTAACTTATCAATATATCTTACACATAGAGTACAAGTAATTTGTAAACTAAATACTATAAAATGTAAAATACAAATTAAATGAAAATTTTGCTTTCGTCAAAATCGGGATAGTTTGAGAATTAAATACTATAAGATGTAAAATAATAATTAAATGAAAATTTTACACTCAAATCGGGACTGTTTAAGGATTAAATACTATAGGCTGTAAAATAATAATTAATTGAAAATTTTACTTTCTAATCGGGACAGTTTAAGAAGCTTCTTATTTCCAAAATTTCTCATCAATTCTTGAATTGACGTCTATTCTTTTTTTTACGTGACGTGATGTACAGTAGGTATTAATCAGTACATTCATTCACCATTTACCTAATCGCTGCCACATTCATTCAACCATTCATACTTAGTCTAATCCGGTTCTGAATCCTGATAAAGTTTTAAATCTTTTACATGGAATCTACCAATGTTTCTGCCATCTGGACCATCGAGCTCATAAACTAATTTAGAAATTACTTTCCTAACTTTACACAAAATGTATTTTGGTGCGAGTTTTGCTGCAAAACATTCAGCTTTATTAGACAAAACGAAATTCTTTTTCCAAACTTTGTCTCCTACGTGATATACATCAGATGGTCTTTTCCTAAGATTATAACTTTTCTCATTCCTTCTATAGGCTTCTGCTAAATGATCGCGAACCTCTTGGTATAGTTGAGGAAGCTTATCAATTTCCTGGCCGTATTCTTTACGATTACACTCAGTTAAATCAAGCTCACTCGCTGACTCTAACTTACCATAGTAGTTTCCATTTGATGGAACGTACCGCCCAAAATTTAATAATGTAGGTGTAAAACCAGAACTCTCGTGAACTGCTGTGCGTAAAGCAAAACCTATTTTATGGATTTCTTTATCCCAGTTTCGATGATCGATGTCTTTTAAGTATGAACGAATGGCCGTTTCTAAAACCCTGTTTACTCGTTCAACAGCATTTACTTGGGGATGAAAGTTTGCATTGTAGTGTATCATAACTCCATAATCTTGAGCAAGTTTTTTAAATACGTTAGATATAAACTGGACCCCATTATCACACGCAATTACTTGTGGTGCACCATATACTAGAAAAACTTGGTCTTCTAAAAATTTAACAATACTAGAAGATTTTGCTTCCCGTAGTGGATGTAACAAACAGAACTTTGTAAAATAATCATTAATAACCAATATATAACAGAAACCATTCTTCGATCTAGGAAGGGGACCTAATATATCAACAGAGATGTATTGCCATGGATAATTTACTCTCTTTGGCCGACCCATTAATCCTGGACGAGCTGACGAACTCATTTTCTGCGCAGCACAAGTTTTACATCGTCTTACATATTTTTGTACGTCGTGCAACAATTTTGGCCAATAATAAAGTTCCCTTATACGGTTCACGGTCTTATATATCCCAAGGTGTGCGGCTTTGGGGTCATCGTGACACTCTTTAAAAACATCCAGACGTTGAGATTTAGGAATCACCAACTTCCACTGGTACATATTTGTATTAAATCCAAAATTGAACGGAGTATGTTTATATAACAAGCCATTTTCAACTTTCCAATCTGAATAGTGTTCTGGAGCATTTTGTATATTATTTACCATTTTGGTATACCAAGAGTCTTCATTAATGCAATTTCGATTTATTTCGATGACACACGCTTCTATTGGTGCTCTAGATAACGCATCCGGAAGTAAGTTTAAAGATCCTTTTCGATGAACAATTTC